GTACATGGTTGAAAGCATTTTATGTGGAGCAGCTGTGAATATGGATATGATGATTGCGTCGACACGTATTGTGGTTTGTTTGAAGTTGGAAGTGCTTGAATTGGAATGACCCTTCGTGTTTTTGCGCTTTCATAGCATTATAAGAAGTTGGTGCTGCTTGTCTTGAGGTACGTCACAATGAAGTAAATTAATCGTTCCGTTGCGAAAACGTCAGGTTTATGTAGAGTCGCTTATGTAGGGATCGCCATTCGTCATACTGTCAGAAGTTACCACTCAACGAGGAAATGTAAAAAACCATTTTAAAATCGAGCATGATGTCTTCAGATTCAAACTTCATTCACTTGTTGGAAGAAACACTAGGAATCAAAACTTTCACACCCGCCCTGAACGATTCATGGATTTTGTATTTGCCGAACTCTTTGGCTCCACTGTCTGATGGGGCGACTTTGATTTGAGTTACTTTGGGTTGTCTAAGTGACAGTGATAAGGATGGAGTGTTGGATTTCTTTCATTCGGCACTTAGAGTCACCTCTTGTAAGTTTGGTATTCTCATTGGTAACTCTCACTTTTCTTTTTTGCTATGCATTTTGACTCCTTCTGGTCTTCTTTTTAGATCGGTATATAGTGATATACGGCACGTGTCTGATGCTCACGTCCTTATTAAAGCACAGGGATTTGAGAGAAACAGTCATGACCAAGGCACCCGATGATATCAAATCTGACAGACAGGTCCAACAGAGACGCAACTTGTCTCTGTAGATGATGATATGCTGAAACCAGTGAATGACATGCTTTTGGAGGAAGGTGCGGTTGCTTAATCATTCAGTACCAGAACGCTTGGAATTAGACAAATGTTTGATTTGCGGTAGTGTTGGTTCAGGATAAAATATAGTATGGTTTGATTGTCTGACAATGTGTCGAGTGGAAGAGCATTCTGAAACAAGTGTGTGGTATTTGAAGGGCCGTTTCGTGCCCAGGAGCTATGGTGGAAGAACCGAACTGTCGTGAGCGTGGACTTGAGCAGTTCCTGTTGGTTGCGTCCCAATGTACATATCGAACCTTGCGACAAAATTCCATGAGAATTCATCGTGGATGACGGTTATGTATTCCAAACTTTATAATTGTATCTGATTTTAGAACCTTTTTGGAGCAACGCTCAAAAACACCACTGCCGCAACTTGGTCAAACTCTTTGAAATTACCTTTATGGTGGACTAGGAACTCCCTCAACTGCACCCTACCATCCAACACAAGTCACATACGTCCTATAAACGTACTTTCCTACCGAATGTGGTGTCGCGAATGTTGAGGTGCGATGTGTTTTGTTTGGCAGGTGGAAGAATTACTTTGCCGGCCTGCACATGTCTGCAACCACACCCGCAAAACGAGCAAGAAAATGGAGACTCAAGATGAGAAGCCCGTTGAAGGGCCTGTGCATCTTATTAATGAAGAGAAGGCGACTCCAAATGTGCTGCTGATTGTCTTGACCATGGCCTTTATTGTGTTTCTAGGGGGATTTGATGGGGTGAGTTCTTTCAGGCAGGTGTTGTTTGATTTGGTGCATCAGGAACAAGAATGACGTGCATTCATGTCGAGTGTCGTGTGCTTGACATCTGATGCTACTGCTGCCCTTTTGTTTGGCATGAAAATTGTTGGATCTTGGATTTCTAATCTGGGCATTGTTGCCTATGTTTGCAGCTGTTCTGACGTCTGTCGATACGAAGGAGGCTTGAAACTGACTTGGATCTATGTCTTGCTTCATTCTAGTCTATGATTATCACTGCATCGCCAAAGCTTGTCACGTCGCTAGGGGATGCTTCCAAATTGGGCTGGGTAAGTGACTGACCTGTATTACTACAATTAATGCAGCCCTTAACACAGGTTTTTGGCATGTATTAGGTTGGATCAGCATATATCTTGACGCAGTGTGCCTTCCTACCGATATGGTCAAGACTCTCTGATGTGTTTGGACGTAAAAATGTGCTTTATTCTGGTCGTAAGTTGCAAGTGTTAAGACTGGAAAGATTGTTGGGACAAAAGCTGCGACTTTTTTGTTGTTTTGTAGTGTTGGTATACATGGTCGGAAGTACTCTATGTGGGGCTGCTGTAAATATGGACATGATGATTGCGTCCAGAGGTTTGTGCTGCGCTTGGATTGTAAGCTCCTTCCAGTCTTCTGGCTTACGTAAACTTTCTCTCTCTCTCTCGCAGCATTGCAAGGTGTTGGTGCTGCTTGTTTGGAGGTGAATTTCAATCAAGTAGTCTAGTTCAAGTCACTGTATCATTGTCTCATTGAACTTCTGTGTAGGGAATGCCATTCGTTATTCTATCAGAAGTTACGACTCAAAGAGAAAGAGGTAAAAGGAACATTGATCCGGGACCGTCATGTTTTCAACGTCGAACTCAACTCACGCCGCCACTGCTGACAGGACAGTACACTGGTTACATTTCTGGCGCTTTGGGTATCGGGTTTGTTATTGGGCCAGGTAAGAACTGCAGCCCTACTAAGGTTTGAGTCTCATGCCAATGCCGATGCTGACCTGTTTTCCGTCTCCCTGAATAGCTATCGGCGGCGTCATAACAGACTATGCATCGTGGCGCGTCTGCTTCTTCATCAACATCCCCATCGTCCTCATCGTCTGTGTCTTGATCTTCATATACGTCAGACTCCCTACCCAAGCCAGCACCATGACTGAAAAACTGGCTCTTATTGATTGGGGTGGTGCTTTCTTGCTCGTTTTAGCTTGTGTGCTTATACTGCTCGCTGTTACGTTGGGAGGACACGAGTTTGCATGGAATAGTGCACCCGTTCTTGCCATGTTTGTTATTGGTGGTGTGGGACTTGTCGCACTGGTGTTTTACGAAATGAGGGTGCCAAAGTTGCCGATTATTCCGATAAGTGAGTGGTGTGTTAAAGAATGGAATAACGGTGTTGCGTTCGTGTTTGTGAGATCTCAATTACTACTTCTTGAGCCCAAGTTTTTTCAATGATTAAGTTCACTCTCAACTCACCTTCGTCCGATTTTTTGCAGATTTGTATCAATATCCAAACTTTGCTCTTGCCAGTATTTGTATTATGTTGACTGGGTATGTGTTTGGAAAGCAAAAAAAGCATATTCTCATGTGACTGAATAGTCCTTGACTTTCTGTCTCTTTCTTCGTAGAGCTACTCTTTGGTCTTCTGGATATGTGTACGTTCTTTAGCGTTGACTGCAACACTACGCTAGCGGCGCATTCTGTCCCTCAAACTCATCTTTGGTATTGAACGATTTAGAATGAACCAATACTTCCAATTCGGAAGGGGACTTGGAGCATCTCAATCTGGAGCACTATTTTGCGCGTTTGCCATTCCTTTCGTATGTGTTGAAGAATATCTACTCGAATAGCTCATTATGATCACATCTCTTTGTGATTAGTTGATTATTCACACCGCACTTTATCCTTTCTAGATCATAGTCCAAATATTGGGTGGCGCCTACATATCGAAAACAGGACGCTACTTGCGTTTACTGACGGTCGGATACGTTCTCGCAATTATCGGAGAAGGTTGGATGACAACCTTTGATGGCGCGACATCGTATGCTCAAGTTGGGGTTTGTTATGCGGTAAGAATACATCAGTTGCCTATGTTCATTTGTACCTGATGCAGATCGTCCTGGATTTGTGGTTGCTTTTGGGTCCCGTCGCGATCCTGCAATCTTTTGTTTCTTACCTCTTGTATCAACAGTTTGTAGGCGTAGGAGTCGCACTAATGGTGCCTCCCTTGGCAATAACGCAACAAAGTGTTGCAACAACATACGAAGAACTCTCAACCTGTGCTTCTGCCACACCGTTCTACCTCAGTCTGGGTGGTGCGTTAGGCATAAATGGCTTCACGTCGATACTCAATAATCTATGGATTTCGTATCTACCGACCTCGTTGGCTCCATTATTTGCTGGTGGGAACTTTGATGATAATTCGTTGGGCACTTTGAGTGAGACCGATAGAGAGGGAGTGTTGGCTGCACTCTTCCATGCGTTTCATGTCACCATCTGTGAGTTTGACGTGATGCAGAATCTTCGACAGATTGTTTTTGGCCTTTGATTGAAGGATCGTACTCAAATCCAGTCACCCTTTATTTAGATGGATATATCGCCATATACGGCATCGCACTGATACTCGCACTCTTCTTGAGACACAAGGATTTAAGGGACACGCTTATCGTAAAGGCTCCTGCGGAGGAGTCTATAAGTCTTGACGAGAGCCCAGTGGAGACGCAAATGGTCTCTGTGAGCGATGAAATACCCAAGCCAGTAAATGAGAGGCTGATGGAGGAAGGCGCTGCTCATTGATGTTACGTTTAGAGTTTTGGAGTGGGAATGAATCTTTTTAATTTCAGGTTTGGCTTAATGTTGTTTATGTTGTTTTTACAATTGAAAATATAATTGTGGATTGAATATGTGATTATGTGTTGATGAGAGGAAGGGTTTGGATCAATGCTTCTTCATCAACATCCCCATCGTCCTTATCGTCTGTGTCTTGATCTTCATATACGTCAGACTCCCCACACAAAGCAGCACCATGCCTGAAAAACTGGCACTTATTGATTTGGGTGGTGCGTTTTCGCCTGTGTGTTTATGTTACTGTGGGAGGACACGTTTGATGTGTTCAAATAGGAGAAGAAGGAGCTCGTCCGGTACTATGATGGCATCTTCCTTGTATGGTACTTGAAATCCATCTTGATACTATTGATACAACAGATATTGTTAAGATCGATTAATAGCAAATAAACACGAAAATTAGCATGAAAACTAGCATTTAATGTACAAGAAGTAAAGCCATTTCTCGCTTACATGTCTACAAGTGTACACTGAGAGGAACAATGAGTACACGGCAATTTTCACCATATACACCGATTGTGCTTGATATTTTGTGCAAAGAGGCTAAATTTTATGCAATATGCAAACAAATCCTCGTATCCGCAACGACGAAATATAAACATCATGTTATAATAATCATTATCATATCCCTTTCTCCTTCTCTTTTCCGACTTCAATCAACACGTTGTCGTTTAGCAGGCACAACATACGCACCGTTCGGCTGTTGTTGCTGTGGACCAACATTCTCATTATTCCCATTCCCAACACCACCATTGCCATCTCCTACATTACCACGACTAGTAGTTCCGAATGCATACACACCATCAGCACCCGGTTTAGCACCAAAGTCAGTCGTGGGTTGTTGAGGACGTCTAGCATTGGGATGCAGGGCATGATTGTGATTTGTATTGTTGAAGGCTGCATAATTGGCAGCCGGCGGTTGGTTGTTTGTGTGTCGCCAGTTACTGCTGACTTGTCTAGTCATTGACTGTTGTTTTTTCATGGGCCCGTCGAATGGTTGGTTTGCTACTGGTTGCTGTTGTTGTGGAGCACCAAGAGCTGGGATGGGTAGCTGTCCATCTACTAGTTGCAATACGCGTGAGAAGAAACGTCAGCACCAGACCAAAAAAAGAAAGGTGCAAATTATTCATACCTGTTTTCGTCAATTCCGTTGGGGTAGCCCCAACAAGAACGACACCGCCTATATTACCAGCTGGTTCATTCTCTTTTTCAAGCACTGACCCGGCTCGAATCACATCATCATTACCATTGTTTGACCCAGCATGTCGTAGTTGCTCTTGATGACGATTCAAACCTTCATTCGATACACCGCGCTGTAACTGTTGCTGTTGCTGACGTTGTTGATTTGGTGGTAGAGTATGTGTGGAAGTTGCTCCGTTGATAGATGTTGTAGGTCGACCTTGTGGAAGAATAGGTTGCTGTTGTTGATTTTGCTGTGGTTGCGGTGGCTGTTGTTGAGGCTGGATCGGCATTGCAGGCCCGGCTTGCTGTTGTTGTTGCTGAGGCATTCCTTGCTTTTGCGGTTGTTGGTGCATCGCTTGCTGTTGCTGCTGATGATGGTTCATTCCTGAATGATTAACTGGTTGATTCATAACTTGCAGATTTGGCAAAGGTGGTGCTCGATTGACCGGCGGTTGGCCTGGTTGAGCTCCTTGTGGTGGATTCAGTCCATTATGATGTTGCTGTTGCTGTGGAGGGCCAGCAGCGCCTGGTGGTTGGTGTCTAGCAAAAAAAGCGTAAGTCAGGTCCTAGCATCCTGTTGAAAGCTCTAACAGTGGACTCTTACGACTTGGCGATAACAGCATCCAGTCCTTCTATATCCTCGAAACTGAGTTCGTCTAAATACAAAAGCCTTACGTTAGGATTCGTTCCAAGTACGTCAGACTCGACAGCAGAGTTTTGGATACCATTGAACTCTGGAATCTGCATCTCTGGCTTGATGTTGGTGTTGCTGGTGTTGTTGTTGATGATGTTATTGTTCGCGTTATTGTTGGCATTGTTATTTTTGTTAGCGACGTTCGTCTCTCCAGGTCCCTTCCTCGAGTTCACATTCCCGTAATGTCCAATTGGCTCCTTGTTCATTCTCAGTGGTGATGGACGTCCAAGATTGTTACTCTTGCTATTCTGTAACGCCATTTGCTGTTGGTGTTGTTGGCCAAGCGGCGTTGCGTACGGGGGAGGAGCCTGATTACTATTATTGCTGTTGCTGTTATTGCTGTCGTGTAGATGATTAAAATGCGGCAGTGATAATGGATTTATCATTTGCTTTGCCATATTTTGAGGTTGGTCGTGGTTCATTGCTGACGAGAACTGCATGTGCATGTTGTTGTTGTTTGGTTGAGGATGGGGACGTGGAATGTACGATGCTGGCTTCAAGTGGTCGGCACGGTATAGTTCTGATGGATCGATTCCTGGTGCCTGAAAGAGAGAGAGGGACAAAACGCAAGGCTGAGGATGACAATGGAACTAGTATTTTCAGCGTATTTTCTTACCGGAGGAGCTTTGAGCCTTGCTAGGGCTTTCGTAAACACCTTGTCATATAAGCAGTTTCCGAGACTGTTGCCAAAGCTCCTCAAGGCTCGCTTGATTGCATCTGTAACAGCTTCCTTCTTGGCCTTTTCAAATGCAGAAGCCTTGTCTCGTGCATTAATCATGCTGCCATATCCAACATCCTATGAAAAAGTCGAAGGGAGTCAACATGTTCTTCTGACGATCAACACTTGTACGAGTTTTTGTTCAACAGCAACACACAAACCTCATGATAGGCACCGTCTTTGAGTGTAACTCGTACTATGGCTGATAATCCCAAACTACTGCGGCCATTATCATCCACATCGACCTATTGCAAAATCAGAGAGCGTTAGGTTTCGCAAAATGGAAGATGCACCAACAATCAAACAAGGTGCTTCAACGTTTTTGCTTCAACGACGCTTACAAAGTCCACCGTGATATCCATAACAGTAGAGCTCCATCCATTGAATCCAAACATGTCATTTGCAATTTGTATCGCTTTGGGTGCTTCAATGTAGGCCACTTTACCTATAAACAATGACATGCAAGAGTCAATACACTGAATGAATGATTAATGCACTTGTAAAGCATAATGCAGCTCAGTAGTACACACCACCACCAGGAGCAGGTCTCTCCGACACGAATTCGGGACCAAGATTTCGACTCAGTTCTCGTCTCAGAAACACATGTTCAGCTGGATCGAATGTGGCATTTCCAAATGTAGACGTTGTGGATTCCATAAACTGGTCTCTTGACCGTTTCATCTTGTCGTTCTGGCCTCGATCTTTGTGGTTGAATGTTGATTCCTGAGGTTTGTTTTAACTGTGTTACATGTTAGTTAAATGAAGCGGTAGTTCTCGACCATATTCACCATGCAATATGTACCTTTTACTTGATGCTTCTCTCAAATATTCTTAACCATCAGTCTTCTGTGTCCTTAGTCGTTTACTTGTTTAAGTGACAGAGGCAAAACAGGAAATGTTGCAACGGCGGCCAATGTCGAACTGAACAGTAACGTATATTGAACGAGTGTAAACGATTACAGCTTACAATTTAAACTCTGAAGCTAATAGATCTTATATTTTGAGGTCGCGACAACGGATGATTCATACAAGCTTACATTCTAGCTACTCCTCTACACAGATCACCCAGGTAAATTCATTTAATTCATCCTGAATGCCTTAGCACTTTGCACGAAAATCTTTACAAAGTCACTTCTCTCAAAGACCATCCTGCAACAAGCTCACAACGAGTGAATGAAGCAAAAAGAGCCACTCAGTCCATACCTCATATTGTCGTCTCACAACAACACCCTTAACCAAACAAACATATAACACTTACACTTGAATGCTTTATATTTTGAGGTCGACCTATCTTTGTACAAATTTCCCTACTTCTCTAAAACCAGCAGGTAACTGCTCCACAGTCGCATACAATCATCGAAGTTCAGCTAGGTGCCGCCGAATCAATTCACACTTTTCAACAAGAATCTTGGCAGACTCTTGGAAAAGCTCACGTGGATGTAATACACCTGTAGATTCAATGCTGACTACAACAACCCAAAAAAGTGAATCAGAGATCACGTACACTCGTCACAATGAGTCAAACAATCACACGACTTACACAAGAAATGATCTCTAACCCTCGACAACCGAACCTTATCATCAAATTCCGGATGTCTTAAAACTTCACGCGACACGGTATCCTTTCTCGGATTCACGACTTTTGCTTCAACACTGCTTCCGTCTGCTGTAGGCACACATTCAATCACTCCAGGAGTGAAACATTGTCTGAATTTCTCGGCATCTGCTCCTTTGATGGCTTTGAGGATTTCGATTTTTGGGAGGAGGCGGTATGATGCCGTTGCTAGAGTAAGAATATGATATAAGCTCGCGTGGCAGAAAGGGCTGGAATATTTATGTCAAGCATACCAACAGGAGACCATTTAGCATGAACTTTGCCAGTACCCTTCTCACAATACATTGTAGCCTCGATTTCTTGACCAGGTCGTAACTTTGCAATCAATATGTCGTTGTGGACTGGCGATGCTGCGTCTGATGGGTCCCATGTTTCTTGGACTCCTTGTGCATCCCATGCTAGTTGTGATGAGTATACTAATAAAAAAGGAGCTCCAGTCAAACGAAGATACATGAACAATGGTGTTTGATCACATACCACTAGAATTGATATACTTGTCTTCAGGCAATGTAGCATTTGGTGGTGCCTTTGGGTTCTTTTCACACTTTACGTGTAGAGTGAATACCAATGCGTCTTCGTCTGATGGGTCAGCGTGAGCTATACGAAGTGAAACGAGTCAGTCGTTATGCGGCTACTTCGCCATCTTCCTTTTTGGCGGAAAAAAAAGAAACAGCTGTAACTCACGAGCCTTGTATTTGAACCTCCTCGGATCACACTTGATAGGTATGAGTCCAAGTCGATGAGCTAGCAATTCATCGTGTATAAGTGATGTGTTTTGGTTGATGTATACTGTTTCGATTGCCATCGTTGGGATCTAAGAAAGAAGTATGAATTGTGTCAATCGTAAGGCTGTTGATATCTCTTTTCTTGCTCGAGGAGTGTACCTCCGAGATCAGAATCCTTCGAAACGCGTTGACGAGAGAAGCGTCAATTCCAATAAGATCGAATTCAGCTTCTAGTTCTCCTTCTTCATGCTTTGTTGGCATTTTTGTTACTACGACATCGAATGTCTGAACAAAAAAAGCGATGTCAGTGACAGTATTATAGTGATCTTGGGGATCTCGCAGAACAAATACACATCGACGTACTTGTTTGAAAGTATCTATAGTCCAATCTGTTGAATTTGGCATATCTTCAGTGGGAATCTAATCATGTTTAATGTCAGTTCAGCAAAACATCAAAAACTTTGGCAGTAGCTTACATATTGGACACTGGTAGGCAGTATTCGTATATCCATCGTGTCTTAAAATCAACGATTCAACAACTCCCTTCTTCTACTAGTCTCTCCTATCTCGTCCAATTAGCTAGCTCCAAGTTTTTTTTTGTGTCGGAAGATCAAAAGGCAATGTTCAAGTTCCAGTTCGAGGTACTTTAAAAGGCACACGGTTGAATGATTTGTTGCACTCTTACACGTTCACATACATGATCTGACGCGTTTTTCATCGCCATATAGAACGAAGAAGACGACAGTCCGCAACACATCAACCAACCCCAAATCAAAACAACGACACATGATGCTGCACCATCTAAGCGCTTATCTCCGTTACCATCGCAAACGCCATACAAAGGATCGCTCCTCTCCATAACTCCCAAAACACAGCTATATCAACGTGACGTGGCAGACCTCCGTACGTCCATGCTACAGTCTTCTGCATCTTCCGATGAATCGTGGATCAAGGACACATTCAATGAAAGTGGCAGTGATGTTATACTTGGGAGATATGAAGGTAATGTGTATTGGGAGTTATGCAAACGCAAAGCTGTCCGTCGCTTGATACAAATACACGCAAACGCCAATGTTCTAGGTGGCTTCAAGACTTGGGAAAGCAGTCTAGATCTTGTGGGAGTGCTGGAGCGTATTGACGATGCGTGGTGGAGTGGGAAGAACGTATTAGAGGTACGTTGAAAGTCTGTGACTATTCATCGTCAATTTTGCACTGCCTAAAACGCAAAGTTCTTTCTACTAGTTGGGATGCGGGCAAGCTCTACCAGGAATGTACTGCCTCATTCACGGTGCTAAAGTTACGTTTCAAGACTATGTAAGCATGCATCTGCAGGAGACAGCATACATCTCCATTGCCTCTTCCTTGTTTTTGCGTCTTGACTCACAATTTCGCCATAGAATGAAGAAGTGCTTACACTTCTTACCCTTCCAAACACAATCCTAAACACCTCTTCCCCGTCCCAAAAACCAAAATCAATCACAGCACAATCTCAACCACCTCAGACCGCCTCATTCATATCAGGCGACTGGCTCACAACACCCACTCTCCTCTTACCCAACTCATTCGATGTGATACTCACCGCCGAAACGGTATACCATGCTGAATTCCACGCTCGTCTCTTCGAGCTAATCAAGTATGCACTAAAGCCTACTGGATCAGTGTACGTCTTGTCGACCCAAATTATAACAGCTTTTTTGGCTTGTACACTAAGATATTATGATCTCATATAATAGGTATCTCGCAGCAAAGACCAATTATTTCGGATGTACAGGTTCACTTCCTCAGTTCCGCGCTCTTGTTGCGCAAGATGGGAGTATGGAATGGACTACTGTGTTTGCTGTAACAGAGACGGTGCGACGGGAGGTTGTCAAGATGGTGTTTAAACAGTGAAGTAGCGCAGCGGTGTGTAGATAAGTGCCAATTGTATATAGAAAGATCAACATAAAGAACAAGTACCTCAAATCTTGTTGAATTTGTCTCTATAAGCAAACATTTGTTGTTATTCATTTTGTTTGTTTCATCTGAACAAAGGATCTAACAATTCGTATGTACACATTAGGATGAAGAAGACAATACTCCAACATCACATCAACCGAATTCCCAAGCGACACCAGAACTATTTCACACCGCCTGACTCCTTTCTCCGTCACAATCACAAACATTATCAAGTGCCGATACCTCCAAACCACAGCTGTACCAGCGCACGTGTCGCACGTTACGCAGCAGCCAACACTGCGCTCCAATGCGTCATATTGAATAATATCGATCTTGGAAACGTACGACAAATTTGACCTTGATCATTGACAGTTCATAATGTGCCTACACGGATCGAAAAAGCTGCCTTGGTGATCTTGAAAGCTTCCTCACGAGCAGTTCTTATACTTCAGTATGATGCTTGTTGAATGTCTCAGAGTCCTTTCAGATCGTAAAACTGGCATGCTGTTACCATTCCAGGAGTCGGAGGGATAGTTGGGCCTTCTTGGTTTTCGTCAAGATGCAGATTGGTGGTTGATGGCATAGCGAAGGTGGCCGACCATTGCGTAACATGAGATCTTTATGCGCAGATTTGCTTTTGTCTTAACTTGGAAGCCGGCAAATCCGTTATGGATGAAAGTATGTCTGATTCGACAGGACTTGTGATGTCTTTGGTAATGACCCTGACGTGTCTTGCTCCAAGAATCATTCAAGTTCACTAAATTGTGCAGAACACACAAACAAGCGAGCAAGTGGTAAGTATTTGTTTTGTCAGAGCATGACTTGGTTCCAAGTTGCGCCTACACCACTAGTTGCGCCTACACCACGTTTCCCGATCGTTGGCGAAGAATGAATTGAACGCGTATGCAAACAACATCGTTATGCTCTGTCATTTGGTGGTCCATCCGTGTTCTCTGAGCTTGTCACGTAGGTTGTACCGCGTTGGTCTTTTCTTATTTCTTTGAAAAGGCAGATCTTGAGTTTAGGATGGACTCAGTTCCGGACCACGATGGCTTATGAGCTGCTCATCTGTCCCTTGATCTCGCTCCGTCCTCCTGAAAGCTTGACTGGCTATCAGTCCAAGCGACGGAGATGTTTCAGATCGCCGTCATCTCACGTGTCGTTTCTCACTTTGGAGACTTGTAGTAATAAAGAAAATATAAAAATGAGTAAAAATCACTCAAAACACGTCCTTTTGCGTTCTTGTCTCGTTGTCTCCCCCGTATTTTCTGCTCAGCAATGTCGAAACACGCATCTTCAATTCGTAGCAACCGATCCAACAAGAGATTCATGCGGATTGGTAACGAGGGGGATATAGAAACAAGAGACAGGTATCCGGTGCACTGCAGGTATGTATATATAGCATGGATGGTGCTTTTACGTCGTTCTTTCTATCAGCATATGTCAGTTTTATCAACAAATGTCCCAACTCAAATCTTGTTTTTCTTCGATGTAGGCCACCGAACACCTCAAGGCGCTACTCCATGAGAGAGAACCGAACTACTCAGTGCCCATCCACACCTCTGCATGTCTCATCGTTCCCAGCAAGATGCTGACATCAAGTGTGGTTGCTCTTCAACCAAGTACATTTGCCTACGGAGTGTAAAAACTGAGTTAGAACTAGGACTATGACGCTCCCACCGTCAGCAGAGGGCAGCTGCAACTAGTGGCCATTAGCACGAGATGAGCTGCTCATCGTGCCCTAAACACTCTTCCGACTCGTGAGCCCGGCCATCGAATATGAGCCGGGTCCTGGCCACTCTCGGTTCTGCTGAGATCGACGGCCTTGTCAAGCGAGGTGGCGTAAGGCATAGAGTGGATCCACGTTTACGTGGTTGGGTCGTAGCACTGATGGTAGCTACACCATAAAACCCAAGTACCACAACTCAGGCAACTATATTTGAGCTCTTCCGTATCGCAACTGTCCGTTTTGAACATAGGCAATGCAGCCAATGCCGGTCCCAAGCCCGGAGAAATGCAGAGGGCCTATACTAACAAGGCTTGAACTATATAGTATGAATAAATATACTGACGCTTACGTTTGCCTACAACGCTGCATTTTACGTAAATTTACAATAAAGTATGCTATATAGACAATGCGCTACCAGCTAATCCTGCTTTTTTGTCTCCACCGCTATCTTCAATCAAACTAACCAAACACATCCAATAGCTATTGCTATACATATCCACCGCGCATCCTCTGCCATCAAACCTGAGGAAGAGCCCACAAACAAACTCACTCTCTGAAATCTGAAGTACTAACATGGATTTCAAGAATTTGGAAAAGCATGTCTACATCTCGTAGGCGTTTTTGGAGTGTTTCGATGATGTGACGGTGGCATGGGACCAATGTTTTTGGAAGATATGGCCAATTCAGAGACATTGCTTTGTGGCCAATTTTTTCTCATTGCTCTGAATGGTTGGTTATGATTGCGGGGACTAGGCCCTCCAGGACTGTACTGCTGACGGAATCGTGTTTGTATCGGTTGTTTATAGATTCGTGGCATGTCAATTGCCATAATACAACCAAGTACTTCAGAAATCACTGAATGCTGAACAGCCAATGGTTTTTTTGGGTTTGATACATATCGGTTGTTGTATTGTATATATTTACATAGCTGTTTCTTTGTGTTCTTTTACATTACACCAAATCTTCCCTCAACAAACCTTCACATCTCATCCTCATCACCCACAACAACACCAAACCCACATCCAACCGCAACCTTCCCACCATCTCCAACAAACGTAACACTACTCCCCCCATCCCAAAGCACAACCTTGCCATTCTGCAAAACAACCGCTACAGAATCTCCACATGCATCAAGCCCCACAATCCGACTCTCACACACCGTCTCTGCACCTGTTCCCAAATCAATCACTGTCTTATCACGTATCCCAAACCGTCCAGCCCCATTCACCACATGAACACCATCCCGTAGCTGAACAACGTTCCGTTCAGCATCAAACTGCCATACCCGCCCGGCCTCATCAACACAAAACGTATCAAACACCGTCACATAAACTCGCGGTTCAAGCACAACACGCAGTTTCGTGGTGCTAACAGACGATGACCGTGTGGTGCGCCGTGTAGCCGGTGTAGCGGTAATCAATGGCGAGGTATTAAAAGACGCAAGACACCACTCGTGTGAGGTGGTTGTCGTGTATGAGATTATTGGGTGGGTGGGGTGTAGTGTTATAGAGCTGATTTTGGGAGTGGAGAGGAGGAGTGGTTGCATGCGATCCTACAGAAAAAATTGTCAATACGTCCGAAAGAAGGACTTGGCTTTTGCTCTGAATTCTCAGAGACTTACCCGTCCAACCAACGCAATAAAACCTTCTCCATCATCCAGCACGACAATTGTAGCAATGCTGCTACACGATACGGACTTTATACGGTTTTTAGCAGTCGTGTCGAGTCCCTGCATTGGTTCGATGCTGTTGTAAGAGTCACAGGATCGGCCTAGTGGTGTGTCTTTGTGGGTTCCTGCGGTGGTTGCGATCTAGAAGATGTAAGAGTGTTAATGATAAAGCAAAAAAGGCACTGAGTATCCAAAGGAATTCTCACCAGACGATCCTTTGACACAAACACAACATGCTGCGGTCCAGCATACACATCCACTACATCCGCACCAGCTTTAGGAACCGGCACAAGTGCCACTCCTCGACTCTTTGCTTGGCTAATCCATTCCAGATTCCTAGATACCAAATACCCTTCAAATCTCCACGCAAAAAATAGATATGTATCTCACTAGCAATACTCACTCTCCAAAAGCATACACCGCACCACCCTCCCTCCTCTCTCGTGGTTCCGGTGACGATGAAACAGGCGGCGCCATCACCACATCCTTCTTCGCTCCCTTCTTCCTACCCGTCGTAACCTCCTCACGAGGCGGATCATTCTCACTCGCCTCAGCAGCAGACGCAGTCTTCATACTAACATCCGATCCCACCACATTCGTCGGCGTACTAACCCTCGCGAAATCACCCAGCAGGGATTTACTCCCACTATTAGACTTCACTAACGGTATATTGGTGAATCCACCGGTTGCATCTAGCTGGAAGCCTGAGAAGGAGCCCGTTTGCCATGATACGGGTGGCGTGTGTTTTTGTTTGAGTTTGAAGGGGGAGGAGCCTTTGGGGAGGTAGCCGGATACGAAGCCGAATGCGGGTCTGGTGTGTGGGTTGGTGGTTGGTGTGTGCTTTGTATTCCAAACATCAAACATCAGATAAGCGCGACATCAAATGTTGTATACCTGATGGTAGGAGGAGGTGACGACGTAGGATTAAAGTCCTTCATTCGGTCCGATACGTGCTTTAAGGGGGATGCGTCGCTGGAGAGGAAGAGCGGGTCGTTTGGCATCGCGGTGTCTACAAGTTGTGTTTTTGTTTGTTTTTTAGTTTTTGAGTGATGTAGAGCAGTTCGGGGGATGAGGAGATAGTTCTCATACCTGAATTGGTGGCTGTAGGAGCTGACAGCATGATGGTGCGTTCTTACATGCGGTATGCTTGCTGTAATCGTTTGAAACGAAATTGCGTGAAAGGAGGGGCAAAAAACCAACCAGATCGAAGTGGCAATAACGACGTGTATTCACAAACAACAAGACACGGTATTACTAAATGGGTATGCGAGATTTATACTAACTTCCTACTAGCGTTATATACAAAGCAAAATATGTAATTTTTTGACGTTTTTGACTTGTTCCTCACTCCTTCATACCTCCATCCGCACAAGCAATAGACTCCACCTACTATATGAATCTACCCCCTATTTCTTATTCTTTTTATTCTTCTTCCCACCACCATCCCTCTCCTTGATCTGATTCGCCGAAGCCTTCATCTCCTCCCTGACAGCAGCACTCAACTCACTCCTCGACTGAGCAGCCAACGCAGCGACCCTTGGATCATTAGCTTTGATCAACTGACTCATCTCCGGCACCAACCTCGCAATAGCCTCCAACAGCATCTTTTTGCTCCTGATAGCCCCATGAGCAGCAACCCCCTCCTGCGTACGCAACTGGACACGTAACCTGCCAAACACGAACGGATCTCGTGGATGGCGCTTGTCACCTTCGAGGACGGCGGATAGATTCAATCGACGTACGGCTTCGGCCATTGCGAATATGTGTGGTTCTTTGCATCCGAGGTGTTTGGCGATGCGGCGGCCTTGGGCGACTGTTTTGTCAGCGTCGATGTAGACTGGGTAGATGCAGTGCCAGGATTTAAAGCGTGCGAGGGTGGCTGGGTCGATGGTGGATTGGCCTATGGGTGGTGATGGCATGATTTGTTTTGATGGTTGTTGGGATTGTTGTTGGGGTGGCTGGGGTGAGTAGTTTACTCCTGGGAGTTCGAATTCCCTATATAGTATAGATTGAAAGGGTTGGTTGAAGGGTCAGTTGAATGTTTGGAATGAAGTGTTGGAAGCCAATATAAGACAGTCTATCCAAGCACCTACATGTTGTCGATATCATCATCATCGACTATAGTTTTGGCAGCAGGTCCCTTTCCCTTGTTGGACATTATTGCCTTGCTTGTCTTTGATGTGCTTTTCGATACAATGTTAAGAATTGACGGAGTGAAGATCCGACGATATGACAGCAAACAGTCTACAACACGTGCCAAATCAGCTATATTATCGCGTATTCTATTGATCTACGCGTACATTATTCATTATAAATAGCAAGTTCCTCTCAACCCATCTCCTCCATTCGTGTTTTTCAAATCTACCAAAAAGTGTCAAAGAATGAGCTCATTTGGAGGATTTGGTGGTAAGAGGAGACTCGATACATGCTCTACTGATTGTATTGTTATTAATATCTCATTTATCTACTAGGCTTTGGTGGCCAACAACAGCAGCAACAGCCTCAACAAAACATGTTTGGTCAACCTCAACAACAACAGCAGCCTCAACAGCAAGGAGGTATAATTCATGTAATATCATATATATTAATCAATATTAACCTTGCTTAATAATAGGATTTGGAGGATTCGGCCAACCCCAACAACAGCAACAACAACCAGCATTTGGATCATTCGGCCAACAACAACAAACTCCAAATCCATTCGGCCAACAACCTCAACCTATATCAACCTCATTCGGTGCTCCACAACAACAACAGCCTGCTACTAATGCGTTCGGTGCATTCGGCCAACAACCTCAACAACAACAGACATCCCTCTTCGCGCAACCACAACAACAGCAACAACCAGCATTCGGTGGATTTGGAGGCTTTGGCCAGCCACAACAGCAACAGCAGCAACAACAACAAATAGGTGCATTCGGATCATCCATGTTTGGAACTCAAAATGCATTTGGTGCGGCTGGACAATCCATGTTTGGAGCTCCTCAGCAGCAACAAGTTCAGCAGCAGCAACAGCAGGAAGATTGGAAGAGTCCGAGGGATGTGGAGACTGCGCAACGAATTGGTATGTTGACATGGGGCGTTTTGTTTTTTGGTGACAATGAACTGACGCTGCGTTTTCCATAGTTCGATCACTATATCCAAAAGACGTGATGGATCAGCTATATCTTATGAGGGAAATGTGGAATCAGAATTCAAAGTTTTACGTGTTTCGTGTAAGTGACTTGTCTCTTTATTAGTTCAGAAGGAGCGAAAATACCACTCTCTAAGAACTTTAATTGATATCATCTTCATCATCCCATTACAGCACTACTTGCTCAACTTTGTCCAACCAACTGAAGTCAAACTCTATCAGCCGGGTGAAGGTGATTATCTGTTTGGATGGATGGAAAAGAAACGAGCGATACCTGACGAGATTGCTGACAAGTGAGTGATTCTCAAGCAGAGCTTACACGGAGTTTCTTTGTTGGTATGCCTAACTCGCTTCATCAAAACACCAAACAGGGCCGTTCCAGTCCAGATACTCGGATTTGAAGGTCTGGACAAGAGGTGTAAACAGCAACGAGATAATAATGCTATTCATGTTCGACAAGTTCAGGCATGTTATTGATTGGTTTGTGTATCATTGATGCAAAAAAAATGATGATATATGATGATGATACTTCATATTTTTTAGAATTTGGAGAGTCGAGTTGCCAAGATACGAAATCACCACTTCCTGGATACGACAATGCGTTTGACTGCATATCAACGCAAGAATGCTGAATTGAGTTCTCGTATCGCTCGAGTAAGTGTTGAAAACAGAATGGTCCTTGTTGACGCTTGGTATTCAAAAATCGTTGTAGTCCTCGGTTAATTCTGGTAGTCACATACAACCGTCATGCTGCATTGTGTATCTTTTTGCTACCTCCCATCAACAGAAAGAAACTCACACATTACCCTATCATAGCTAATGTCATACACTCAAGTCCTCCGCACACGCTCCACATCCATCAAACCCGACGAAGAAGCCTTTAAAGCACGCATAGAAGCCCTTTCCCACAAACTCGACCACGAAAGCCAAATACGTGCCCGCATAATGGAACTAAGCACCCGGATCGAGCACTTACGTGACGATCGCACCATGACTGATGTCAACAACACGCAAGGTGGTGGTGGTACTGCGGGACTGGAAGGAGCGATCGCAGGCGACGTTGACCAGCTCAAAGATGTATTGCAGGATCATGAGAAATGGTTGGCGAGTTTGACTGAGATTGTGAAGAAGGATGCGGGGGATGTGGGGAAGATGTTGGCGAGTTATGCAGAGGTGTTGGCTCCTCATACGAGTTAGCGAAGTTGTATAAAAGGGGCTATAAGTAAGATTTGCGCGTAACATACACAAATAGAGGTTTAGCCCCATGAATTTACTGTTTGTATTATTTAAGTAAGTGCGAACTGTGCTCTATGTATTATTGTGTTAGTTACTATTAATATTGTTAGTTCTTTATTGTTGTGGATGCTGCTGTGTCTCATCATACAATGGTGGCCTAAGGACACTACCATCATTACCCCAAAACTGTTGTCCCTGCTGCTGCCCCTGCTGAAACGGATAAAACGCCTGCTGCGGCGCCCACACAATTGGCGCATTCGGATACACCGTGAATCCGTACATTGGATACTGATACTGCTGTTGCTGATAATGAGGCTGCTGTTGTGGTATATGATACTGCTGCTGATGATGATGAGGTCTAGACTCTTGGAAATCAAGCTCCGTCAGCTCTTCACTGCCCGATCCGTAACTCGAGGTGCGTTGTGGTCTGTGGAGCGTGTCTGACGATGAAGCTAGTGATGCTGGTGGGAGAGGCAGGGACTTGAGGGTGTGGCAGCGATGGCATTTATCTCGTGAGGCATAGTTGTAGTATTTGCAGTTGCTGCATGTCCAGTCTAGTGAGTTGCGTCGAGTTGCATTAGCAACTCCAACGTCTTCATCAAACCACACGCGTCTTGCAGACGAGAACACTTACCACCAGGACGATCCGGCACCCTCGTTTTCACATTGACGGCCCCACACGCCCCACAATGCCGTCTCCCATCATTGTTTATCGCACGGCAGGATGCGCAGGTCCATGTTGTTTTCTTGCGGGGCGTGTGAGGCGTGTCGGGACGTGGGGATGTGCATTTCATGCATGTGTGGCGGGAGGCGAAGTTGTGCGTTGTGCAGTGGCATATCCAGTCTATTGTGCGAAGGTTGGCAAAAAAGAAGAAGGTGATGGGGTTGAGGATGGGGAAGTTACCTCCAGGTTTGAGTTCGATGGGTGTTGTGAGGACGGATGGGTGCGCGGGGATTGTGCAGTTGAAGCATGTTTTGCGGGTTGCTGTGAAAAAAAATGAATTTGTTAATGATTGATGGAAAGAGGTGTGAGGAGACATAAGTAGTGTTTTTGGAAGGAAAAAGATTGTTTGTGCATACCGAAATTATAGAACTGGCATCCATCACACACCCAATCTAAACACCAACATTCGTAAGTTCATGATGTTTGGATTTTGCAAGTTATTTTACTCTCTACCTCCAGGCTTCGCAGACTCTTTCGTCGATACCTAAAAATAAACCATCAATACCACAACCATCATGATTATTATAACACTACTAACCGTATCCCTCCTAACATCCACCACCTCACTCCCAACACACGGCTGCACAAGTACCCTCTCGTCCCCGAGCAAGCTATAATCTAGCGCCAGCGCCGTCTTTGCATCCTCATGGCTCCCAAACACGAGATACGCGGTTCCGTTCGGCGACCCGTCAATATGGCGCGAGAGGAGGACTTGTTTGGGTTTTATGGTTTGGGGAGAGAGCCATGTGTCTATAAACCTATAAAACGAAGTGTTTAATAACTATGAAAATGCTTTTTAAAATCAAAGGATTTGGTATGTGACATACGAGTACGCAATCCTCATTGGCAGTCCAACGACCTTGACTATGTTTGACTGGGTTTGTAAAAAGTCATTTAATTGAGATGTCACGTTGATTGGAGCCGTGAACGGCACATCGGGGCCCGTATACGTGCTGCACCATCTAAATATTTCTATAATCATCCTCCCCATCGTCACAGCGGGGCTCTCACGCACCACTTCTGCGTCTGCGTCCACACTATCGCCAAATATACATTTCGCTAATCCGTCTAACCCCACATCAGCCGGCACGGCACGGCTGCTAGCCCGACAATATATACCCACCTCGTCAATTAGATTATAGAATATGTTATAGTGAGGTGGCAGCACGATATTTTGTTGCGCTGCATCGTGGATTAGTTTACCGCGGATATCATACTCTCCGTGCGTGACGAGTGCGAATGTGTGGGATGCGAATGTGAGGGCGTCGAGGGTTGATGTTAGGGTGTCGAGTGCGTGCTCTAAGGTGTCTGGATAAAATACAAAGAGCAAATGTTTGGTAAAAATACAAGGTCGAAGTAAAAGGTACAAAAAGGATAAATGAGAGATCATACCTCCATTCGAATCCACATCACGTATCAAAACACTGTACTGCTCTACAACCTCCACTACCTCGTCTCTGCCCACCACGCACACATGCATCGCGACATAATCACCGTTTTTACCAGCACTGTTACTGTCTTCACGTTCGAAATACACGGCGATTAAATGCGTTTCGGGTGTCGTGGGGCTGGAGAATGGTGGGTTGTCACTGCTGCTGTTGGTCATCGTAGCTGTTGAATCCATTTCCTTTCACCAACGTTTCTCACAACCACGGTGGTGTTGCAGAACTGATCGAGATAGTTCTGGTGCTTGAGGAGTTGTCTGATTGCGTTTATATCTGCATCGGAATGGTACAGGTTGGTGCGTTGCTAAATTTTTTCCTTGGGTGGGGCACTACTTTTTAGTACGTCAGCTAGGATCCATCAATGTTTTCGCGTACTGCTGCAAGAGAAGGAGTTAGAAATGAGGGTACCGATTTCCACAATGGTATTTGCGACTCGCCTTTTGATCCGTTGCTGTGATGCGTGAGCAACAATTGTGACAGTCGTTTTTTGCAAGTTCAAGTAGTTGGCCGCGGTGTTCAGGCTGTGTGAGGTGCACCGGACGGACTAGCTTAAAAGGCGATGTCCGACATGGAACGACAGGTTGATTGCGTAAGCGGACTGACCAGCTTCTTCGCTTTTGCTGAGAATCTCCTGTCCCTCTGCTTGGGTCTTGGATGAACGTATTGGATGAATGTGCTTCATTCGACTATGTTTAATGGTTTAAGAGGCGAAGAGCAGTATGATTTGAGATGAATGGTTAGATTGGGTGTTCTCGACGCCTTCCGATTTCGACATTGGAAGGCACAATTCGTGGGATGCTGTAGTTTTATTGAAGGACGAGGACGGTATTTTGACGGTGATTGGATCAGGTATATCATGCAGGAAATGTCTACTTTGATGGTTTGTTAATTAGGAAACTATGGCCGATTCCGTTCACGTTATTTACAATATTGAGACAAAATCACGTAAAGTTCTCCTTGTCAACACGTTAATGAAATAAATCAGGACTTGTTTTCAAGAGCAATACATCCGCATATATCCTGTCTATCCCTTCCTTCACGTCAGTCTACCAACTATCTCACCGCCACCATCGATCCTTCCAGCGACTTCTCACACTCACCAGTGTTATACAAACCGACAATATCCCGTCTACCACTATAAAGAAGGCCTACCGCTGATTATACCAACCATTACCACCTTATAGCACCTTATCACGCCAGCTTACGGGTCCTGTCGACTTGTAACGCTACTCCAAAAAGCTTTCCAAAAATGATGACAATGAATCCCCCATCTCCAGCTCAACAGCCTATATTCCCACGCAAACATGGACTCGAACCCGACCAATACGAGCCATTCGACTATGGATTTGTCGTCCCAGAGTATAAGAAACTACGAATGGATACATCTGATATGACATTTGGGATTCAGCATCATAAGAGGAAGCTTGATGAACGTGAAGATGGGGAGGAGGAAGACAGTGCGATGAAACGAAATCGTGTGAATGGAGATGATGGTGGTATGGCTGCTGCTGCTCCCATGGATGTGAATGACGATGAGGTGCAGCAGGTGGTTTTCAGTTGGGACGATGATATGCAGAGGATTACAGAGTATTGTTATCGGAAGCCAAAGGTTCGGTTCTTGCTTGCGAATCCTGAAGAGTGTAAGTTAGTCAGTCTGTTGCTCTCTTTGTCTTTGTTTCAAAGCGTACTCACTGCGTTTGAATTTTGTAGCGTTACGTCCTCAAACTATATACGAACTACCCAATATACTACCCGACTGGAACGATTGTCTCAATATTCCAACTATACCACGGGCTATACGCTGGAAGGACGACTCGGACGAACATGATACGGAATACGACAATGACACCAATCACTGCTACACATATACCACCACCACCAATAATGATAATAATAGTGCAGGACCACTCATATCCGAAGTTACTGATGAAGAAGCTGAACGATTCTTGTCCACGTCGCACTACTCGGTGCTTGAAAATGATCATGGAATGGATATGGAGGTAGACGATGTTGCTGACACTCCGGTGCATGAAGTTTTGAGTAATGATATGGCAAGCAAGTGTAATTTGTATTAAGCTGGATCTGCTGCTGCGGCTTGTATATTATGGAGAGTATCTGCATGCACATAATCTGTAGAACGTTTACAAGAATATAATGTATTACAAAAGTGAATTCGACGCGTTTTATGACTTGAGTCCTATTTTCTGTTCGAAACTGTCAAATGTCGAGCAATCGCCTCTCTTTCCCACCTATTCAGCCCTCGGTCGTATTCTTTCTTTCTGCTGATTCACACTCAAAACAAGATTTTCACCCAGCTATAATTCGAAACTCAGTCAACCCAACCCATTGAAATAAGAAAACAAGTCATGAGCGTCATAGCCACAGTGAAGGGAGTGACCATTGCAGCCCCAGTCAAGGCATCAGAGGCAGAAATCCTGACTTTGGAAGCCCAACAATTCGTTGCTACTTTGAACAGAGCATTCAACCCGAGACGAAAGGAATTGCTCGCTAGGAGGAAACTCGTCGAGTCAAAGATTGAAGCTGGGTATGTCTTGCTGCTACTCTATTATTCATTGGTGTTGTAATGGTTGAATACGAAACATTTGGAAACATTGCACATGTCAGCATGAAACATGGTTTTTTTTTTCTGGAAGAGTGGAGCAAGTATACTGGCTTCATATGCTGTTACTGTATTCGTTGCATACGAACTGCCTTTTATTCACCAATACTTTTTCGATTCTAATTCATTTTCGTGACACTTATTTTTTCTCAACCACGACTTCTTCTTTTTATTTAGTCTCTTGCCTGACTTCTTACCTGAAACCAAGGCCATCCGTGAAAACCCAACATGGAAGGCTGCTCCACCTGCTCCTGGCTTGATCGATCGTCGTGTGGAAATCACTGGTCCTGTCGACCGAAAGATGGTCATCAATGCTTTGAACTCTGGTGCTAGTACTTATATGGCTGATTTTGAAGGTATGTATAGAGATGTAGTATTTGAAACTCAAGATGCATTGGCCAGTCGTTCATCTCGAAATGTTCTACCCCCCACTGACATGTGCTTTTTTTTGCTCGAATAGACTCGAACGCCCCAACTTGGGAAAACAACTTGCAAGGCCAACTCAACTTGCGAGATGCCGTCCGTAGAACAGTCACATACGAAGCACCCAATGGTAAATACTATAAACTCCGTCCTGATGGTAAACTAGCTACTCTATTGGTCCGTCCCCGCGGTTGGCACTTGGAAGAAAAGCACTTCCTTGTCGACGGAGAGCCATGCTCTGCATCCATCTTTGATTTCGCCCTCTACTTTTTCCATAATGCCAAAGAATCAGTCAAACAAGGATTTGGTCCATACTTTTACTTGCCCAAAATGGAATCGCACTTGGAAGCTCGTCTCTGGAATGATATCTTCAACATGGCTCAGGACATGCTGGCTGTCCCTAGGGGTACCATTAGAGGAACAGTATTGATTGAAACCATCTTGGCGGCCTTTGAAATGGACGAAATCATATACGAACTCCGAGACCACTCATCTGGCCTGAACTGTGGACGATGGGATTACATATTCAGCTTTATAAAGAAATTCCGTACAAAGCCCGAATTCGTATTGCCCGACCGTAGTGAAATCACCATGACTGTACCATTCATGGACTCGTATGTACGTCTCCTCATCAAAACCTGTCATGCACGAGGTGTACACGCTATGGGAGGCATGGCTGCCCAAATCCCAATCAAGGACGATCCAGCTGCCAATGAAGCCGCCTTGACCAAAGTCCGTGCCGACAAGCTCCGTGAAGTATCTGCAGGCCACGATGGCACATGGGTCGCACATCCAGATCTCGTAAAAATCGCCATGGACATCTTCAACAAGCACATGCCAACCCCAAACCAGCTCCACATCCGTCGTGAAGACGTCCGTGTCTCGGGATCCGACTTGATCTCAACCGCAGGGCTCAAAGGTGGCGTCACCGAAAAGGGATTACGCTCCAACTTGTCTGTCGGTGTCCAATATATGGAATCTTGGCTCCGAGGTGTGGGATGTGTACCCATTCATAATCTCATGGAGGATGCTGCAACTGCTGAAATCTCACGATCGCAATTGTGGCAGTGGGTTCGTCATAATGTAAAGACGAACGAGGGTAAAGCTATCAATCCACAGTATATTGTTGCCTTGCTGGATGAGGAGTTGGCTGCGCTTCGTAAACAGGTTGGAGAGAAGGCTTACAGTGCTGGCAAATGGGATTTGGCGAGGAAGCTGTTTTTGAGTACCGTGCAAGGGGGCGATTATTCGGATTTCTTGACTTCTCTGGTATGTGTGCCAAAAAAGAAACTGGAATGTGATTCTGGCATTCAATTCGTGTATATCGCTAACACTTTTGTCGTCTTTAGTGCTATGACTCTATCGTCACTTCTCCAAAGGGATCCTTGACTGGTGCTCGTCTATAAACAAAAACATAAACACATATAAAAAATGTATTAGGAGAAGGGGAGGGTCGTTGGGTTTTTTTGCTTGCTTGTCATCTCTGGAAGGAAATCATTGCGTGTTTTGTAAAACGTAAACAAAAAGGAAGGAATCAATAAAAGTAGTTTTGTGAAGCAATATCTTGTGTGTCTGGATCTTACATCAGGGTTGAATGATGGTTGAGGAACGGCGATAGGAACTGGGGTTTTGCGGAAAAAACCCCCCCAGCTGCAAGCGCCAATGGTTGAAACTGTTATCAGTTACAAGTCAACTCGTCAACTCCATAACATGTTTAAATCGAATATTTATATAGCCCTACTCCAGACGGTCGAGTATGATGTAACGAACCCTGCAGACCCAGTATTTACGATCTGGACGGTTCAACCAACAAGGTCCAGTTCGACTCTTATGCACAGCAGTTGTGAGTAGATTGAGAGAAGTAGGATTCATTTTAAATTTCATAAGTCTGGATTTGCAGAAATGCTGGCGTATCAAAAGAAAACGAGCATCAGTTCTTACGTATTAGCCAATAGCTTCAGGCATTGCAGAGCACTCTCCACTGAATCAACACGGCAGCACTCGTTCGGGTGACAGAAAGACCTGAATTGGCAGATATTTTAACCTATTTCGTTCACCAAGACACGACTTTGCGTCCAATGTTGACGTGCTGATCCAACACATCATTTCTACATGTGGTTGAGCAGATTCTACTAGCCAAAACTCATAAATCGACTCGAATATTGCGTAATGTTCGACTTCTGTTCAGAGCTCTGTCTCCTACTTCCTCTCGAAAGCTTAACCAGTCCTACCAGATGTCTTAAATCACTCTCATTGCACGAGTCGTTTCTCACTCTGGAGACTTGCCAGGATAATATCTCTCAAAAAACGTTATTTTGCGTGTCTTGTCTCGTTGTCTACCTCGTAGCTTCTGCTCAGCAATGTCGAAACATGCATCTTCTATTCGAGCAACCAATCCAACAAGAGATTCATGCGGATTGGTAAAGAGGAGACATAGAAACAGAGGACAGGCATCCAGTGCACTGGGGGTATGGATTGATAGCACGGATGGCTCTTCTGCGTCCTTCTTCCTATGAGCAAATGTCGTTTTTATCAGAAATTGTCCCAACTCAAATCTTGTTTTTCTTCGATGTAGGCCACCGCACACCTCAAGGCCCTACTCCATGAGAGAGAACCGAACTACTCAGTGCCCATCCACACCTCTGCATGTCTCATCGTTCCCAGCAAGATGCTGACATCAAGTGTGGTTGCTCTTCAACCAAGTCCTTTTGCCTACGGAGCGTAAAAACTGAGTTAGAACTAGGACTATGACGCTCCCACCGTCAGCAGAGGGCAACTGCAACTAGTGGCCATTAGCACGAGATGAGCTGCTCATCGTGCCCTAAACACTCTTCCGACTCGTGAGCCCGGCCATCGAATATGAGCCGGGTCCTGGCCTCTCTCGGCTCTGCTGAGATCGACGGCCTTGTCAAGCGAGGTGGCGTAAGCCATAGAGTGGATCCACGTTTACGTGGTTGGGTCGTAATACTGATGGTAGCTACACCATAAAACCCAAGTACCACAACTCAGGCAACTATATTTGAGCTATTCCGTATCGCAACTTTACGTTTTGAACATAGGTAATGCAGCCAATGCCGGCCCCAAGCCCGGAGAAATGCAGAGGGCTTGTACTGCTAACACATTTTGTGCCTTGTGTACCGAACCGTAGAATGTGTTGTTTGAAAGTATTGATTTGTAGGACTTTATATGGTAGAACGTGTTGTTTGAAATGCATTCATTTGTAGGACTTTAGATGGTGTTTGGATTACTAATTAAAGGTTAGAGTTTACGATTGCATCTAACGCTCCAGAGAACTTTCGCGGATGAAGCGTGTGTACAGAGTGCACCATTCGGTACGGCGGCCTCATATGAGCATGGCAACAGCATTAGCACTTCTTTGCGCTGTTGGCAGGCGAGTTAAATCCTGCTTGCTTGGAAGTTAGGTCTTGTGAGAACCCGTACATGCTGCTTGGACAGAAAGCCCATCCGAGACGTGAGGAGGGTAGTAGATTTCGACCTTTGACCGTATGGCTTGCGAGGCTTCTGCTTTTTCACCTCATAGGAGCACCGTCTCGTCGTGAGGGTGGGTCTCGTCTAAACATATTTTGGATTGAGCAATCCAATACCTTGATACGTAGCTGTCTTTGAAATAACCCAAAGCATATTCTAGACTCGAAACTGAGAACCATTCAAAGCTTAATGCTCCTTTTATCTCCCCTTTCGGTCGGAACAACCGACGCCTTCTAAGCGCCTACAATGAGTTTTGGAGTTTTGACCCTCAACCAGCCCAAAGTCGGACTTTTGGTTTATGACGAGATACCCACCACAAACGGAGACTAATAACCCATCCAGTCTCCTTGATGGCATCTGCATCTAGTGGACAAGCAGATTCAGAGAGGTGACACTTCTTGGAGAATTTTTGCTTTTGCATTCGTTTCAATATTTAACAAGTATTTTCGCCACCGCCAAAAGCTCTGTCGGCACACTCGGTGTATCAGCACTAGTCTCCATCATGGAGTCCAGGAATCTTCATCCACCTACCACCATCACAACACCAGTGTTGAGCGACGGATTGATTCCCGAGGATGAGATTGTAATGGATGCCATCTATCGTGTCGCACATCGAAAATTGCCAAAACTTGACAGGAATGCTACGCACGTCTATGATATTATAGATTCGTTTAATGTCTGCATCGCTGACTTGCGACGAAACGCGGGGAATCGTATGATCGTACCTATCAACGACACGGACTTGAATGTGCTACAATCTGCGGTTACGGCCATGACCCAAGGAGGTGCTCCTAGTGTATTGCAACAAAAGATGAGGTCCATTGAAAGCTTTTATCCTACATATGGGGCTGCTTTGATGCTGGAGGTGGACGAACTGGATGAACAGAGCTTTTGCTATACGGTTCTTGGGCTTGATGAATGGAAGGTTGCTGTACATGTCAGTCAGTATAGAAGTGCAGAGCAACACGCCATTCCTACCCAAGTAGTGTCACTTCCATGTGGTGGATGGGCAGGTAAAGCTGCACATGATGTCACGGTGCCAGAACTAGATCTTGTAACAGGAGGAGCTCCTTCTGCCGTCCAGTCAGCAGTAAGTAAAGCTATCTCAGGATCTGCTTTGATGGATGCCAACCACGGAACAGCTGACGTCGGTAACAATACCACTACTTGGTGGTTGGCATACTATTCGCTACTAGTCTTGCTCAACGAACCCAAACTCCACACAAAGTTCATCTTGAACTTTTATATAATGCAACTATTAAAGAGCCTGGAGCGTTTCGAGCGTGAGTCTTTGGAGGGCAGGATCGCTTATAGACGGGACAAGGTGGATTATCTGTTTTGTATGATGGACACCACCGTGATGGCTGTATTTCATGCCCGCAAGGGCTATCTCAATGACAGTGACGTAGCGTCTGTCGATAGGGCTTGCAAACATGTGCATTGCCATCTAGAGAAACTCCGTGACGAGATTGCTTTAGAAATTGCTAAACCGTATGTGATGAAAGCCGCACCTTCTGACTCAATCGAACAACCCTTGAAAATCTGGAATAAAGCTATGAATGTGGTTGCGAATGTCAATGCAAACACTGAGACCTCGGACGATGTGCGGACCAAAGCTATCGCAGACATCAGTGGAGCGGCATTTGTAGATCCTTCCTACTATGCTACAGGTGTAACCCAGATCCCGTTTATACGTGTCGAATCTTGGGCTGTCAAGTTGAAAGCCAGATCCAATCCTAACGATGCAGACAGCATGTATGTTAGTCTTCTCATAATGGCTAGTATCGAACGATGTCTCTTTAGCTCGGCTGTCTTGCTTAGAGATCCGAATGGTCCAGTGCTGTCTGACGCTGATACGAAAGCGCTTCTTGGCCTTGTCGTCATATATCAACAGATCCTTGAAACATGGCTTAAGAACCAGGAACGATCTAAACATATCATGTACTCAGCTACTAGGACTCGAGAATTGTTAATAGTATGGGTGGCTTGTCTATTACTCCATCGGCATGCAGCACGTGTCTACGAGTCACTGCAAGACTTTGGTATAGCACTTGATCCTACACATTTACGCTGTCTTGTTTGTAACTCTCAGGAGGAACAATCTCTGATTCTGAATTTGGTTGCTTATATTGTATCCTACACTGGTCCTGCGATTTTTGCAGGAAAGAATGGGTTTCAGCACACGTTAGAGTTTGCATACAGAGCTACTTTGGATCCATTGAATGAGCATATGATACGAAGATCCGACACAGAGCAAGCTAAGGCAGAAAACGCCATAGCAAGGCACTGGGAGTTTGTCAGATCTAAACAGGAATTATGCAAGGAGCTGGCTGCTCAAATTGTCGTTCTACAGACTGAAAGAGGTCGTCTTATAGACGAGAGACACTGTCTACAAAAACCAGTGCCCCCTTCCGGAAGGCCACGGTTTGGATCTGTAGATTACGAAATACTACGAGCCCAATATGATGACGATCTAAACCAGTATCGACATGATAACACTGTCTATAACAACGCGGTCAACAGCTACAATCGGCAAATCACACAAGTAGATGGTCGAATCAGTAGTCTAACCGAGCGAAGGGACAGAGAGCAACAAGATGTGAATCCCGTCATAAATCCTTTTCCCGAAGATCCATGGGCACGTCGAGCAGTCATATTCTTCCTCTTAATGCCAGAACCGATCCAAAATTACGTCGATATGCTATATCTGGCTCAATATATGCTAGCTCCACGAGCACCGTATGTACGCAGTGATGCTAGATTCGAACCTTACACTAGATCCATGGCCTCGCCTTCTGCACAGAGTTGGAAAACCTTCATCACCAGTCACGGCAGCCAGCTAGTACCCGATAAGAAGTTTACTCTCAATCATAGTATAAAGTTGCCAGCTTTTCAAGCAAGTGTGTTGAATTTGAGT